CTGTAAGTGGGATAGTACCTTGGTGACCCGGCGGAGGGTCTCCTGTGTCGGCAGTCATCATGGATGACTATCCCATCCAGGGCCTGTTGGCCCTTTCTGTCTTGTTGGGGCCGCTGTTCCGGCTTATGTTCCCACTGGGGTTCGGGCGTGTGTGCATGTCCCGCATGCTGATGCGGTCTGGAACAGTGAAGCCTGGCCCTACACCTGCGGAGCAGGCAGAGATAGATCGTAAGTTGGCCGAGAAGAAAAAGGAGAGAGAAGCCAAGAAAAAACAGAAGAAAGAAGAAGCAAGAAAGAAAATGAAAGAGAAAATGGACAGGGAACTAGAAGAAGAATTGAAAAGTACACAAGAAGAAGAAGAAGAAGAGCAAGAGGAAGTGGAGACTTTAGTAAGACGTCGTCCCATTGACATCCCAGAGAGTAGTACAGCACAGCGGCTTCCGGTTGAGCCGCTAAATTGGGCTGATCAGTATTATTACTCCAGCGAAATCCTAAAAGAGTCTGAAGAAGAACGTGATGTGTTCATTGCCAAATTAGCCACGGTGACAGATACAGTTGAACCCAATCTGATGATGGCAGAGAAAAGGGTTGAGTTGAACAACAAGTTGTTAGCAGCCAGAAGGCAAGAAGTGAACGAAAAGAAAAGGCTGCAGGCAGAAGGGGAGAAATTGCAGAAAGCTCTAGAAGCGCAAAAGGAAAACCCCTCTGAAACTGAAGCACAGCTTGCACTCCTCAGGGAGGCCGTCCTCAACACGAGGCAAGATATGGACTTAATGCGTCAGACTTTGCAACGTGTAGAAACACATCGAGTGGAATTTGAAACAGTCTGGAACAACTTCTTGGAAAAGTCAGCCAAGGATGTGGACCATCATGTTCAGACATATATCCAGGCTTTGGATGACCACGTCAGTAAGACATTCACCCCCGAAGTTATAGAAAAGATTGTAAAGGGAGCTGGAGGCGACGGAGGAGATGGAGATGGCGATGGCGATGGTGACAAAAAAGGGAAGAAGAAAATTGGGGATCCAAAGGAAAAACTTCCTCAGGAAACCGGGCAGGGTAACAAGATAAAACTTAAACTACCTTGGACCTACAATGGAAAAAAAGAGGAGAGTGTATTGCACTGGGCGGCGGCCATTGAAACCTATGTGTACGGACAGCGTATCCCATATTGGGACAGGGTGTTGATGGCAACTTCGTGCATGGGAGGCGACGCCATGAGCTTCGCCATCTCGCTGCAAAAGGAAGCGGGATGCAACTCTATGGTAGAGTATTCGCAGCAAACGCGAATCGAAGATTTCCTTAAGTTAATAAGAGAAAGATTTGAGGACAAAAACTTGGCAAGACGTACAGAAATGTTGATCCTCAGCCTTCCTGACAGGAAATGGAAGAGTACCTCTGCACTAAAGGCAACTATGGATGAACTATTGCAATGCCCTGATCACGGATTGACGCCGGCCCAAATCTTAAACAGCTTTGCACGAGCGCTCCCGGATCCCCTAAAAACACAACTCTATCCCCGTACCAAGGAAGAGGGGATGACATATGAGAAGTTCGGCAAGATCGCCATAGATCATGCGGGCTTCCTCGCTGAAGCAAATTATTGCCATTACTGGAAGGATTTGCAAGCGGGTAAGAGATGGCAAAACCGCACCATCAGGGTCTATACCTGGGAAAGACAGTCTCCTTCTAACCTTTGAGGAAGGAGGCGCCGAGACCATCTCCTGGGATCAGGTAGACTATGGTCTCGATGAACCCAACAGACCGATAGCTCAGGAGGGGAGTTACGCGGCTGTTGCAGCCCGCGGGGGAGGGCGTCAAGGAAGAAGGCGTGGCCGAGGAAGAGGTCGCGGCCGTGGTGGACGAGGATTCGGCACCCAGAGGGGTGATGTTGAAGGAAGCCACTACGTGGGAGGAAGGGGAAATGGTCCCTCATACGGTGGCCGTGGTTCTTACTCCACCTGGGGTAGAGGAAGAGGCTCATGGTACAACAAGTGGGATAAGCCATACCCACCACATCCAGGCCTACCGGAAGGAGAGCCTTGGAAAAAGTTGGGAATTACAGAAAAAGTCTGGGCCGAAAGAAAGAAGGCAGATCAATACCTCAAATGTGGGGACCCCGACCACATTGTCCCCTATTGCCCTGACTATAGGGGGGCAAAAGGGAACAACCAGTAGAGGTGCCAGTTTGCCTCTACCGGGGCTTCGAATGTTGAAAAATCGGAATCCTCCCATTCGAAGGCCCCAATGGCAGAAACTGAAGAGGAAAGAAGTCCCCATCTAGTGCACTGTCCAGAGGTGGCAAACGTATGCATCTCTCTAGATGGATCCCTCGATGGCGTGGGTGATGAGTTGGCCGCTCGTCGCCAAGCCTGGACTGAAATGCGAAAGACGAAAGGACAGCTAATAATTGCAGATCTTGAAATAAATCGAGTCAAAGTAGGAGGTATGATAGACAGTGGTTCTACACGCAGTTACGTTAGTAAAAGAGGTTTGCAGAAACTGCGTCTTGGGCTTAAGGTTAAGAAGTTAGATGAGCCCATTGTAAGTAAGTTAGCAAATAGTAGTGAAACCGTCATGGATCGATATGTCGAGGGAGTACAAGTATACTTTCGGCTAGAAGCAGAGGGAAAGGTGGAACGCGTTCTCCACTCTCGGACCTTCTTGGTGGAGGATAACTTGCCCTTTGATGTATTACTAGGAATGGATTAGGGTGAGGCTGCGCATGCAGATCTAAAGTTGAGGGAACATGAATGTTGGTTTCCAAGTCCGCAAGGAGGTAAGAAGAAAATCCGCCTCTATCATGAATCTGGAAAGGAAAGCAGCCTAGCTCACTGTTGTATGAGTGCCCCAGAGTTCGCTCGCCATTTTAAGAAACATAACTTGCATGATCAAGTCTTTGTGGCATACGTGCACCCAATAAAGGAAGAAGAAACTAAAGAGGAAGTCAGGTCTCAAGAGATTGAGAGAATCTTGAAAGAGTTCGCCGATGTGGTTGAAGCCCCAAGCGGTGTGGTGGAACGACCAATCCGCCACCGCATTGATATCATTCCAGGGAGCGCGCCCCCAAAGGGGCCTATCTATCGTATGTCGCCCCAAGAATTGGATGAACTGCGAACCCAACTCGACGAGTTGCTGAAAAATGGATGGATAAGGCCTAGCTCCTCGCCCTATGGTGCGCCTGTGCTCTTTGTGCCTAAGAAAGACGGCGGCGTTCGAATGTGTATAGACTATAGGAGATTAAATGATATAACCGTAAAGAATGCCGAACCATTACCGCGAATAGACGATTTGCTGGATTGCGTGCAGGGTTGCTAAATCTTTTCGAAGATTGATCTAAAATCCGGCTACCATCAGATTGAGGTTGAGCCGGAAGACCAACATAAGACTGTCTTCAGGACAAGGTATGGGCATTATGAGTTTATAGTTTTGCCCTTTGGTCTCACGAATGCCCCTGCCACTTTCCAAAGGACAATGAACGAACTATTTCGTGAGTGGCTTGACAAGTTTGTTGTGATTTATCTAGATGATATTTTGATTTTTAGTAAAGATGAAAAGGAACACGCTGAGCACCTTCGACTTGTGCTAAATAAACTACGAGAAACAAAACTCAAGATAAACCCAAAGAAGTGTGAATGGGCTAAGCGTCAGGTTCCATACCTAGGACATGTGATTGATGGAGATGGGGTCAAACCGGAAGATGCCAAAATAGCAGCAATCAGAGATTGGCCGAACCCACGCACCTTGACTGAGTTGCGGTCGTTCCTTGGGTTAGCCAACTACTATCGCAAGTTTGTAAGGCACTTTACGATAATAGCTGCTCCCCTTCACCGGTTACTTAAGAAAGAAGTAATTTGGAAGTGGGATTCAGACTGCACTATGTCTTTCAAGCGTCTAAAACAGTGTTTGATCAACTACCCGGTTTTGAAAGTGGCGGACCCTTCCTTGCCTTTCATGGTCACAACCGACGCTAGTCAATATGGTATAGGTGTTGTACTCCAGCAAGATGATGGGCATGGATACAGGCCTGTAGAGTTTATGTCTTGCCGATTACCTAATGAGAAGGTGGCCGCTTCAACGTATGAACGAGAGTTGTATGCTCTACGTGAGGCTCTCAATCATTGGCGACACTACCTTCTGGGACGGCATTTTAAGGTGTACTTTGACCATGAAACACTTCGCTGGCTTAAAACGCAGGCCCGAATGACACCTAAGTTGACAAGGTGGGCCGCAGAGATTGATATGTTTGACTTTGAATTGAAGCCAGTCAAGGGTAAGTATATCGTTGTTGCTGATGCACTAAGTCGTAGATCAGACTTTTTCAGTGCTATTATAACCTATCTAGATGTAGGTGCTGACCTACAAGAAAAGATTAGAAATGTGTATCCCACTGATCCTGTTTATGAAACCATGATTAAGCTAGTGAAAGAAAAGCCAGCAGAGTTTCCTGATCATAAAATAACTCAGGGTCAATTGTTTGAACGAACTGATGTGAATGATAGGTTGTGCATACCCAATAATGAAGAGATCAAAAGCATGATCTTGGGGGAATGCCATGATACAGAAGGCCATTTTGGGTGGAAGAAGACCTATGAGACCTTGTTGCGTTCCTACACCTGGCCTCGAATGAAAGCAGACTGTATCGCGTATGTGCAAGGTTGTCAAGTATGCCAACGGAACAAAAGCACCACGCAATCGCCCCTTGGGCTACTGAAGCCCTTGCCTATCCCTACCGGCCCTAGAGACTCTGTCTCTATAGATTTCATGGATACGAAGGTGAAGAGCAGAAATGGGAAAATGCAAGTAATGGTCATAGTGGATAGATTCACGAAGTATGCTGTTTTTGTAGCCTTGCCTTCGGAAGCAAAGACTGATTTGGTAATTCGGGAGTTCTTTAACCATTGGGTAAAAGACTGTGGACATCCCTTAACTATTGTGAGTGACAGAGATACCCGATTCACAAGTGAAGAATGGCAGCAACTTATGAATGTATATGGTTCTAAGTTGACGATGTCATTAGGTAGGCATCCTGAGGCTAATGGTCAGACTGAACAGATGAATAAGATCTTGCAGCAGACTTTGCGCATGTACATTCGTCCCGATCAGATTGACTGGGATGAACATCTGCCTAAAGTTGCTAGTGCCTATAATAACTCTGTACATCTATCTACGTGTAAGACTCCTATGGAGTTGCACCTGGGATGGCGTCCACGCAGACCTATTGATCGGTTGAACCCGGATCCGGTCCATAAGCTTCCTCTAGGAACTAGTGAATTTGCAGTCCAATATCAAAAAAACATTGAGAAGGTAAAAGAAAACATACTCAAAGCCCAACATCAGATGATTGAACAGGCAAATAAACATAGACGCCCGTCTCAATTTGCTGTAGGAGATTTGGTTTGGGTAAAATCTAGAGAGTTTGCTCCTGAAGAAAACATCTCTCAAAAGCTTTTACCTGCCTACAGAGGTCCTTGGCAGGTTCTAGACGTAATTGGAGATGTAGATGGTCCTTCATATGTCATTGAGGTTCCTTTACATTTGCGTACTTATCCAGTGTTCCACGCCTCAAAGCTCCTGCCTTGCGTGACGAATGAGTTGTTTCCAAGCCGCAGGTCAGCGATACCTCCAAGTATGGGTGGAAGGTATGACGTGGAAAAGATTATTGCAGAAAGTATTTTTCATACTGGCCGTCGAGGCAGACCACAGCGACAATACAAGGTGAGGTTTGCCTACCAGAATCCTAGCGAGGATCGCTGGTTCACCAGGGAAGGCTTGCTAGAGTCTGCACCTCATATTGTGTCTGCATATGAAAAGGAAAGAAAAGGAATCTATATCATTGATGAGTAAATGATTCTCAGAGGACTCCGAAACTAGGTCGGCGAGAGTAAAAGGGCCTTTACCCGATATAGGCCTCAGGCCTTGCAAAAGTAAAGCAGCTCGAGCCTTGTAAAAGTAAAGCATTGTGAAAAGGTATCTCGCCAGGGCTCAGAAACGTGAAGGCAGGTCAAAGGTCAAGTTCTCTATCAACAGGTACACCTAAATCTAAGGCAAAGGGCATTATCAAAAGACTTACCTGTTCACCAGGAGATGTGTATGTCATGTCTGTTTGGGTAAGAGTATGTCTGTACGTGCAGGCAGTGTACCTGTTCGTGCAAAGGAAAGTGTATGTTCAAGTGGTAAATGTGTCTGTTCGTTTAGAGTTGTGCCTGTCCGAAAGTAAAGTCAGTAGGCACAGTCCCAGTTCTGGTCTAAGTCAAGGGGTCAGTCCAGATCCAGACTTTCAAGTCCAAAATCCAGGGCGAAGTAACTCAGCAGCAGTTGAACCTCATTGGGACTATACTGGGACACATGCAATGCAGGGTCTGGGACAAAGGGAGAGGCTGAATTGAGCCAATGCAGACCCAGCGAGGAGTGGCCAGCACTATAAAGGAAGCTGCCAGCCTCATTCCTCGCCAGATCTCCACTGGCTGCAATGCGTGGAAGTGCTGGTGCACTTGTGCGCTGAGTCAGGAGGAGCAGCGCTGGAGGTAGAAGATGCGCTGAAGGAGGGAGGAAGAAGCCTGTACGCTGGAAGTGATGCARCCATAGCTGCCCAGTGAGTTAGCATTAGTAGTAGTGGGTTAGCATGTAGCTATGAGTAGTATTCAGARTAGATCCTCATGAGTGAAGAGTGTGTATGCATCGTAGGAGGAMGGGACTGAGGCTGGGAGTGTTCATTCAAGGTTCGGCTATGGAAGATACTTACCTGAGTTGGATGTGACCTGCAGAGGTGGCGCTGATGAGTAGTGACCACATTGATGACTTGGAGACTATCTGCAGGAGTAGCGCTGATTCACTGGAAGTCATATTGAYGAGTTGACAAGAGATTGGTGTTGCGCTGAYGAGYGCTGGACTYAGGGGAACTTYGAAACACTTTGTATTCATATTTCTGATAATATAAGCTGTGAAACTCGGTCYTCTTCTCATCCACCTTTGTCTATGACTTGAGACTATTGATCGTGGTGTGTGAGGATGATGCATG